CTCCTTTGGATCTACTTTAATCGTTCTGCGGTATATTTACATATCACAAATAATCGTAATTCTTATCTTAATACAAATTTCGAACAACCAATAACAGACACGCCATTTTTCTTTGGTTGTTTGTTCATTTAAAATGAACAGTCTGAATTATGAAATGAGAATATGTTTTACGAAGAAGAGTTTATCTTAATATCTACACAGTGAATTTTGTACATCGATAACGTATGCAAACATGAAAAGACATGTTGCATAAATATGCAGGTAGGGTATATGCAGTTGTTCAAATTGAAGTTCTGATATTATTATATTAATTTATGGAGTGTACTCTTTATACATTTTCCATAAATTCATGTAAGATTCCAAACGCATATAATTCGTATAAAATAAACTTGGTTGATTTCTGGTTTCGATTCGAGTTTCTTCGGGACGTATTTTCCTTAAACATAGAGCGTATATCGAAACAGTCGCTACATTAACCACGAAGTTGTTGCCTGGGAGACAACTTCCGAACCGGTTTTAAGGTGTCCGTATCTTCCGACGCACCATAGGAAACTGCACGTGGCTTGCGCGCTGGTTATCGCCATTCCAAAGTAAAAAAGCTACCAGCATTTCCTTTCTAATTGTTAACATTCTAACGTTCTGTGTATCTATGTAACATTTTATTCCGTACAATTGATTGGGTGTTGATATCTGGTCTTTTATTACATTTCCTCTGATTATTACTTATGGTTGATAGCTTAACATTTACCGACTGGTAGCATATTACCGACTCTTTCTCGTGGCAACCAATACTTTATCTATTATTGAGATAGCATTGTATACCGTAATCGCACACATATATATGAATTATGTAATACGAATATATTAATTAATATTATGCATGAATTATGAAATATGAATATATTAGTTCATATTGTACATACATGAATTACGAAATATTATATATTCGAACGCTACCAGTCGGTAAAGTGTTAAGGTACCAAAATGACTATTAGTCCGAATTATAAATTCGGACTATAAGTTGAAACATTCAATTATTCTATTATTCTAGTGCGATTATTCTAGTTATTTAAGAATGGAGATTTTGCATCGCGCGAAATTGTTTCCCTTCTCGTCGACGGGGCACTAGAGAAAGGGTTTCCATTCGATCGTTCGAGGCTGTCACGTGCGCATAACACGGCCTTTACGGGGAGCCGAGTCACGCGGTAATACGCACACAGAGATCGGTGTCAGTGCAGCAGCACGGCCGCGGTAATATAGACGAGGCACGACCGGCGACTGAAGCCAGTCTGATTTCGAATTCGTTCGAGAACACGTCACGCGCTCTTTCTGGACATCGTTAGGCGTGTTTCGCGACGCATCGTCGAAACCACGGTGAACGTGGCGCGTCCGTGAACGTGAACTGTGCGAGGAATCTTTTACCTTGGCCCTGCCACGGACATATTTCCTCTGTATCTATCCCACGACGTTTCCAACAGTTTCCAAGCGGAGTTCTGCACGGCTGTTATGTATCAAAGTAGTATCGTCCGTTCGCCGACGACCGTGCGTGCTTGAAACCCACGTCTAAAGGGGCCTTGTGTTTTTTTCACCGTAAAAACTGTGTTATTCGGCTGCTTACAAGTCGACCCAGGACACGCTCTTTCTCTTTTGGGCTCACCTTGTTCTACGACCATAAATGTTTCATCGAATCACCGAGAGACTCGTCTTCGCGCCGGTAGTCCGCCATTGGAAAAGAAAGTTGGTGTTCGTGATTACATGAGTGGCCACGACCGGGAAAAGGGATTCGCGTGCAGTAAGTTTTCCATCGTTATTGTCTTGTCGCCTAAGTATAGAGTAAAGATATTCGATCGAAAGAGAATCGATCTCTTTAGTCAAGAATCGATCCTCGCAGGACTTTCTCTCGAAGCAAAAATGGTTGAAGGATCCGTAAAATAAAAACTTGTATTACAAAATGAAGTATTTTCCAATGAACAAATGAACTTGTTGGGTTGATTAAACGACACGTATACGTTTTCTATACGTTTCTCGTAGAACGATTACTAAATACGTGATATTCATTCTTCGTTAAACATTGCCCAAATAATGCATAATTTTTAGGTTAGTTCGGATAATTCCCTAAAACGTATCGCAGAAACATTCGGAATTTAGTGGTAATGCTAAAGGGATCAATAATCCCTGTAGCATTACCACTAAACCTATCAACGTTCATCTGTAACTGTCTCTACCGTGATGGAACGAATAATTAGTCTTAATGACGTCACAGGATCTACGGTCATTAAAAAGATTTGATTGCTATGGAAATCGATTTTCGCGCGGGGAGCGTCCATAGTGTATTGATCTCTCGTAACGTAACTGACGGTTCTTAGCAAATTTTTCCCCTTTTCACTTTGCACGCCTGGACAGCGATCTAAAACTTTCAATCGATCGACTTAACCGTCGCGTGTCCTCACGAGCCTGACAGATTTAATCGAATTACTTGAACCGAGCAACCGGCGAGTCGTTATTTCTATGGCATCTACTGACTCAATTATCAACCGATGGAATAACTATATCGTTTGAAGCTAAAGCTCTCTTCTGCTAAATTCCTAACGAGAACGCATTCGAGATCGATATGTACGCGTTAGGGTATCGGACAGCCGTTTTCAATATTATGAGAAATAAAATTAATAATTTTGAATATTCTAAATTATCCATAAAATCGTCAATTGAGATTGACGTAGCTCACGTGTGGTTTATTATACTATCTTGATTAGAAATCCGATACTCGTTCATTACTAATCTGTAAGAATGTTGAGCAGGATTGATAAGCTGAGTGAATTAAATTACATGCGCACAGACTACGATCTCATAGTGGATCGTGACGATTCTATCAAGAGGAATTTCATTCATTCGTCAGCTTATCATTTCGTAATTAACGAGCATCGGAATTTAATCAGAATACCGTTTTAAATCAGCAACTACACACGTAATTGAATGGCTTGGCATTCATCGCTGACGACACTTGTAAAGTAATTGAATTTATTATATTACGGAGACGTATATTGAATAAATATAGAGGCAAAGAATTAGTTTCTACGGGTAATATTTAACGAAGACGAATGCGTGACTAAGCAAGAGTGCGAAAAGTCGGTGATTCACCAGGAAATCGCGATAAAGCGTGTGATGTGACCTACCTCAATAGTTACTGTTCTTTGAAGGTATTTCCTTCTGGACGACGATCGATCGATCGCTTCGGGCTAACCATTTTCTTTCTCTCGCATTAGAAACAAATTTGTTACATGTGGAATTCATGATAATCGTGGTACGTTTTGCACGATCAGAAGTTATAACACAAAACGTAAAGTGTCGCAATATTGTTCTTGACCGAAATTAATACTGACGAAACAGTTTCGGAGATTCCAGGCCAGTGTTTCTCGATCTTTATCCGTCTGATAGCTTCCTCGATTAGAGAAAACTTTCAGAAAGGCGTCCTGAGTAGAATTAAATCATTAATTAATAAAAATATAGATTCCAAACACGTATAACAATACATTTCTCTATTCTATGTACTGTATTCGTTCATTTTCTTTTACAATGTTATTTATAGAAATGTATTGCATCACGAGAAGAACCAGTAATCGATACAGTCGGAATGTCGATAAAAAAATTATTAAAAATTCATGCTCGATGAAGAAACTTTTCTCTTTTAATAGATCTTGTTACCGGGGAAATATTCCTTTTTTTTTTTACCACGCGTTTCGAATTCTGCACCAGAGTATTCCAGCAATGCACTTGTTCCGTGTCCTGTGGAACATATTGAAGCGTACAGACAACGATTTCTTTTTCTTATAATCTTATAATGTAACATTTATTGTTATGGCATTGTCCTCGAGAAAGTATTTAATAAATTTAGGACTTTTTTTTATGTATAACACGAAGAGTTTAAATTTATATCTCTTCGTGGTTCGTGCATCATTGCCAAGGCCGACTGAAATCTGTTTGTCATCAAAACATTTCTTCTCTTACGACAAAGAGTTTGATAAATGCATTCACTTTCTAACATCGAACTATCTACGGTCACATTGTTGTTCGTACTGACATGCAAACGCAGAGGTAAAAAACATGAATTTGTTGCGAGAACAGAAATATTTATTCGTTTCTCGAGGACAGCGCAAATAATAAAAATGATACGTTTAATAAATAATTAATACTTCTGCTGTTCGTGTATTTTACTTCCTCGAGAAGCATTCCGATAACCATCGGATTTTCACCTTTCGTTGTCCTTCGTTTCCGTCGGTTCCGTAACCACTTACCTCATCGCGAATTGGTTTAATAGGACATCCAACGTGCTGTCATCGACGCTGTTTGCTTCGTTAATTTTCTATGGGTTCCGATCGAACCGGTCCTCAGTGGCGTAGCAGTGGAATTTCCCCGTTGCTTTAATTAGTACGAGACAAGATAGTATACGTCGACAGGAAACCCAATTTCTTCGTCAGACTAATAATAGCAGCAACTTCGTTCGAGAAGCTCGAGTCTTCGTTGCAGTAATTGTCCCTTCTGTAATTGTTGCAATAAGTGTTAAGAAATGAAAATTACGAAATCGAACGATACAATATGGTTAAGCGAATCACGAGACTCGTACATTAATAAGTAAGTCATTAGAGAACTTGATTTTTCCTAAACAATCCAAGTGGCACGTGACAGTTTATGAGACTCAATAAGGGCGATCATGTGATCTGTCCCGCTAATGATCTTAGAAAGAAAGGTTAAATGCATTGCTATAGGACGACCCGTCAATGATGCTGCGTTAACCTTGTCTAATCTGCTCTGCATTTATTTATTTATTTGCGTGAACTCTAAGATCGTTCTTTTAATACAAAAAAAAAAAAAAAAAAGTTAATTGCTCGAATCGATAAGCATGACATAATTCGTTCTTCTCCTCCTTTCGTACTATCGACTTCGTTTCTCTGCTGAGAACGCAACACGAGGACTCAACGCGCTTTTTTTATTTGTGATTTCAGCATCCGTGATAACAACGCGGTGAACGGCGTGATCCCTGCTAGTGACTGTAAGATCTGCAAAGACGAGAAAGACGAGCTAAAGGATTCCGAAAGCGGCGACGCATCTCTGCTTTGCGCGCTGAAACCGCGTAAGCGCAAGGAACGTCGCGAATCCTGTTGTCAAGAACGGAAACTGATCAGGTCCGCCTACTAAAAAATTGTTCACTGTTTAAACGAAACATTTTTACTATGTCTGGTCGAGAATTCTCTATTCCTAGATAGTAACGTAACTAAAAATCAAATGTCCTCAGGAGCAGCAGCGAGGAGCGTGTTCTGGAAAGTCCCACGAAAGCCGCGGATACGATCAGACGCGTGAGCAGTCACGAGGATTTCAATAGCGAGGAACATTTGCACGTGTTGTCTCAACTCGGACAAGACATGGGTCACGGTGTGGTGAGTTTTACAATTAGTACAATTATATATGTATGTAACGAGTTTTAAATACTTTTTACCCAGTTCGTGACGCCTTGAGTGTTATTGTCACCGTATCAACGAGTGACTTGCGCGTAACTCAGATTGCCTGCTGCTAGGGGCACTCTAAAAAATAAAATATATAATAATAAAAGATATAACGATAATAATAAATTGTAATTAGTGTAAAGCAAGCTACGAGCGTTATCTTGAAAAAGTATTCTAATTTATTTGCAGAGATGCGGAGGTCTTCCTCTGCATGAAAGGACGAACGTTTCGCCGATATCGAAAAAAGTACCATCGTTTCCATCGCCGTGCGAGACGGCGTTGGAAACCGAGAAATTCGAGTGCGATGCCGAGAAATTGAGAAGCAGTGAACGTTTCAGTAGAAGCATCACTCCAAGAGGCAGGAAGCAAGCTCGAAGAAGAAGAGTGCATAAAATCGCTGACGCGATGAGTTCCAAGGTAACATTGTTTACACTTTCTAAATTCACCTCTGAAGGTGGCAAAAGTAAACACTTGGATGAAATTCGCCAATAAACGAATAAATTATATTAGGAAAATGACGAGGAACCTGACAACATTTACAACGTGTCGTCGAGTCCCAACAGTCGCAACGGATCGCCGGCCCAAAGCTTTTTAGAAATGCTGAGCAGCGGACCGAGTCGATCGCCATCGCCAGCTCGCCCACCAACGGTTGACCATGAAGACTTAAATAATCCCAGCTTAACGAATTGGACTTTCCAACGGCATGAAAATGTAAATAACAATGGAATATTAAGTATTATCTTTATCACATTTTGACAATGATATGTGCTTCTGCGAACATTTTTTTAACGATAAGAGAACAATATAGAGTGCATATATATTTTTCTTGATCCATAATCTGATGTATAAATAAAGTGCTATTTCATCCTGAGTAATTTAAGCCTATACGGAATAAGGAAACAAATGCTATTTAGGAAGCGAAAAAAATGAAAAATCGTATACGAATTAGTACTACTTGTTGATTATTATATTTGTAGGCAGAAGATGCAGACGCTCGAGTAGAAGCCATGTTGTCCCCAAGAAATTCTCTGTTGTTGCCTAGACGATTTTATACTGAAAACGAAGAGCAACCCAACACCCCGACAATTGCGGAACTTGGCTTAAAAAATTTGACCAAGTACATAAACGGTTTGAAGAAGAAAATCAAGAAATACGAAGACGAGTTCGAAGAGAGTTTTGGTTATCGACCGAGTCATTCTGATAAAATGAATAACAAAGATATAAAACGATTGTGCACGGAGTTACATAAATTGCGAAAGGAGCACAAGCTCCTGAAGGAAGATCCGGTCAGCGCGTTATTAGCCAATGCGAATAACAGAACAAGAACGGATAGCGATAGCCCGACCAACAACAAGAATAGCCAAGAAAAGTCGCGAGCTACGTCGATGGAGGAAATGGTAAAAGATATCGAGAAGAAACTCAGCGAGAAGAGATTGAAGTGCAACAGACCTGACAATATGGAAGAACTGACTTACGAGCAACTGATAGAAGAAAAAACTGCTGTGCAAAAAGCTTTGCTTCATATTGAAAATATTTTCGGAAGACCCAAAGAAGATAGGACCGTAGTGCGTCCTTTATACGACAGATATAGAACTTTGAAGAGATTGCTTATCAGAGCAGGAGCGAGCAAAAACAAAGATAGCATTTCTGAATTAGCCACTATCTTGGAACACGAAGCAATGGATTTCACGTCGTCTAATGTACCCGGTAATCCATCTGACGCGGAAAGAAGAGCCAGCGAGCCAGACATGTCGCATAGAGGTATTTTGGATTGTATAGATTCGGCAGATCAATTGCCAACCGACAGCGACAGTCAACACAGCAGTAGCGAAGGAAGTCGCAGTAATAATGAAAGTCTCCATGCGCTTCCACAAGAAGAGTTATTGATTCAGCAAAAATTAACCAGAGAAGAGAAAAAACGTCTTCGTCGAGCTTTGAAAGAATTAGAGGCGCAATTCGAGGCTCGTGCCGGTCGGAGAATGCAGAGGGAAGATCGTGGCCCACAAGTCATCACTGTCTATGAATCATACAAACAGGCCAAAGCGAAACTTAGACTGATCGACGCTCTTGTAGCGAAAAATGCTTGACGCAGTATCTAATCGGCGTCTCGAAAGTTGCACACGTGGCAACAATAAAACCCCAGAGCATCATAAACCTTGTAAAACGTGCACAGTAGTCGCTATACAATCGACGAATCACATTACGTTCGTACAGTTTATTAAACGATTTTGTTGTGCAATAGGAATGGCAAGCAAAATGATTAGAAAGAAAACAGCATCGAAATAAAAAACTTAATATATATCATAATATAATTTCAAATTACTGAAAAATCAAAAAATGTTAAGATATAAAGGAGAAGAATATCTTTGCGATAATGGTATCGATATCGTTCCTCGAAGTTTATGTATCAATAATCATTTCTGTTATCTTCATTTGAAAACCAAAAATGTAACGGTTCAACGCATGAAAATATTTGCGCGAATTTTAATTCTACGCTATGAGTGGAAGCAAGTACGCTTGCAATTTGCCTACGACTCCGGTTAAAACAAATATCGAACATGATGCAGTATTGATTGCATGAAATGTTTCGAGAAACGGTATCGATCGTTGCACTTAACGACATCAGTTCCACGATTCTCCTATCGTTTCGGGGAACTCGTATACATAACTTCATAAAGGAATATTATACGATAGTAATGAATACGAATCCTACCAGACTAGCACTTTGAACTCTAAGCACTAATAATAGTTAGACAGTGACAGTGGCTACTGCGCTATGCATATCGAAATGATCCGCCAATTTGCACTTAATTTCCTCGAAATACTCAACATCGATTTTAATACAGCAGGATGATGCTTATTTCATAATATCTATCGAATCATTACGAATGTCTACCTACTTGTACGAGGAACTTTGGATGAAAAAAAAGCAACTCTAAAATGACTTAGTCTATCGAAGATTTTATACGTACATTTACTAATGCCATCGAACAGTTTATGCTTTCATAAACGACATTTTGAAAATTTGCTTTTTTGCTACTTTGCAGTGTTTGCATATTTCCATTACGACGTATCGTGGACGTACGATCTTTTCATACTTTTTACTTTCACGCATTCCCCTGTGTCTAACCATACGTTGAAGAAATATAAAAACAAAGAATTGAAAAATTTTGCTTGAGAAGTTGTTATGCTATAATACACGTTTCTTTACTCTGAATCAAGAGGTAGGGTACATTCGAAAAAGTGTGGCATTGTCGGTTACGGACACGAATTATGAAATCGATTTTGATAATCACGACAAATATAACGAGTTGATTATACATGTTTATTTCTTGTATTATACTTTTCAGAATTTTATTAGAGATCTTGTTGCCTAACATTATCTATGTTTTCAGATCAGACTTGTTCTGGCTATTAAGACGTTTTTTTGTTTTTGTTTAGAAGATCATGACTTCACGACAATTACTTTAATTTCAAATAGTGGAAACGGATGACTATAGAGTGTGTATTGTTTAAAATTGCTATGTTCGTTTCATCGTACGAGAACTATCATCGGATTGAAAAATACTGAGAGTAAAGAACGAATCTGTGGGGTTAATTGTAATGTAAGTACCTTGTAAGAGATATCACATGTTGTAATTGTAGAGTACTATAAACTGTTACAGTCTTATAGCGTATTAAACATATTCACTAAAAGCTCGTTGATTTTTGCGTTTTGTAATCTGTTTGCGCGAGTAAAATTTTAAGACTATTCATAAATGACGACGGCTTTAAAATTCAACTCGATGAAGACGAAGTTTCGAACGAGGATGCTATGATTGAATTTAAATTGTATCAAGTAAACAACAACAAAAAAGTGCTTTTGCGAGTCTGATTAACGTTGAAGAACGGAATGATGTTACTTAACTGCTTTTAACAACATTGGCAAGCTACAAAATTTGAACTTTAATATGGAACAAGGATCGAAATGTAACTGCATAAGCAAATATCGTAACAAAATAATAATGCACATATCATTATTTAAACAAACCCTGTGGGCAAATAAAATGCTTACAAGACTCGATATAAATATGTAAACCAACAAATCGCTTGCTACATAGTTGGTTCAATTTCTGTTGCTTGCGTCGAGTAAAAAGAAAAACTCAGCGGTCCCATATTTTCCTTTCACGCTATCCATTTTGCACACTCGCGCGAAGAAAAACTAATTTCTTCTAAAAAAAAAACTTTGGGCGATCGAGATTTTTGTCATAAATTTTATTCCGCGCTGAACAAACGGAAAAGCAAACGATTTTTTAGACCAAAGCATTTTTTAGTCTGTGATATAATATGAGAGATATACTATTTGCGTTACTATGGGAGAGTGTGTGTGAGAAGGATTTAATTTAATTTTCTCGTGGTAAACGATCTTTGAAGATAGTAGAGAGTTATCGAAGTCAATCATCTCTTCGAGAGATCGTGAAATAAGGATGATAGCTTAAGCTATATTGCATTTTTTCGTGGAAAAAAAAAACAAGTTGAATTAACCAGAATGTGGAAGATCGGACAGTTTATGATTTTTTTAAATTTATTTTATACTTTCGGCAATTAAAGGAAAAGAAATTATCTAAATATAAAAATGAAATGTTATTTTCTTGGAATGCAAAATATTTTCATACATATATGTATATTTTCCTCGGCGGTTTCTAACGATGATCGCAGCAACTCGTATTATTAACGAATCGATGCCAGAAAAAACTTAATTTTATATTCGATATCGCAGAGATATTTCGTTTTTGATAGATTTTTGTGTGAATGAGCAGCGACCTTTATAATAGGAGGAATAAGAAGTATCGTCTTAGAAATAACATTTTATATTAACGTTATCTAAGATACATTTTGTAGGTTGTAAAAGAGAAGTTCTCATAACAGTACGATTATAATTTTTCACGACATATTCAAAAGTTAGCGTTGACATTGAGCAATGGTAAGTTTTGTTCATATATTTATTATAAATTGAACCTAAAGAAAACGAGGAATAAACGTCTAGCGAAGTGTTAATTGTCCTGGACGTTTATTAGCGTGTGATTATGTACATACATATACATGGTATGTATAGATACAAGCAGTTGCATACATAAATACATAAAACCATACACGCATACGAATCAATATATACGTTATAAGAAGTAGCATGCAGAATCGAATAAAAGAAGAGTATGAGCCACTAAAAACATTGTACTCATTCTAAGAAGTAATCCAAAGAGAATCCTTAGTTGTATATAATTTAAGTTTAGTAATCCTTCTTTAAGTTTAAATATTATAATGTACAGTAAAAAATAACAAATTCTAAATACTTAATTATGAGCTTAAGAGAAACTACCACAAATTTTATTTGTCTTATACTGTATATTTCTCATGATAAGTTTCTATCAAATTTTAGACCTGCGATTATGACGATTACAATTAACAGTATATCGATCATTATGCATGTCTTGTAGTCATTTTAATGTAGGAAACAGATGCATTGTCTTGAATTGTTATCCGTTTGAGATTCGTTTTATTTCTATATATGTACATACGAGAAGTGTTTAAATAATTATCGTATAATAAATATGCCTATATATAGGTTCAACTTACTTCGAAAATCCGATGTATCCTTACCATGAAGTCAATTTCAATTGTTTCTGAAACATTTGAATTTGTCGTAAAAGACCGGCTAGCCGAATAGAAGTAGGTTCTCTTGGTGTAATAACGCTATTTGCTCTTCTATGTTGTAATCTCTGCTGCATAATTGTTCCATTGGATTTACTTAATGTAAATGGCATGGACGAATAGGCTTTATCGGATCCTAATGGAACCTCAGTTGATACGCAAACATAACTATTCTTCTCCTGTAGTTGCTTCATTTGGTGTTTTAATGTCATTACCTATTAACAGAAAGCGATGAGAGGTCCAACAGTAATAGAATTCGTAAATAAAAATTGTGTTTACCTCTTTATAGAGATTAATAACAGCATTAATCTCATCTTCTTTTGCAGTTAACTCTTTTTCAAGATTCAACATCTCTTCTTCAGATGCTTTATCTTTAGCCTTTTCAGACTTTGCTTGTAATTTTTCGTATTTTCTATAATCAGTTAAGAACAATGAACTTAACGAAATTCGGATCTTCCAGAATTCGAACTTACGTGTTCAATTCTTCAAACTGATCGTGAAGATTAACAAGAACTTCTCGTATCCCCTTTGAACTCTCGGTATGATTGGTCATTTGACTGTTACACACGATCACATTAAAGTTGTTCCCCTGTAATTTTTTGTATTAGAATTTTCGATTATTCTACTAGTTTACACTGATTATACTTGACAAGTTTTCGACTGTATGTCAGGAATTTCCATTTGTGTTTTTACGTTTTGTTGAGACGAGAATACTTTTAATGCTTTAGTATTGCCCGATTGCTTCTCTAATTTAGTGTCCTGTAAATAATAGAGTTTTATATTGCCAAATGAAAGGCCTACTTTTAAGTAATCCATTTTTCGTTATATTCGTCTTCCTTAAAGCAGACCTTTTCTTTGTTGAAGTTTTCGTACGTAGTTTTATCATCTGTGATTGCTGTTTGTTGTAAATTTTCATATTGCCTTATACTTGAATTTAAATTCAAATTCAGATTTCTTAATTGAGTTTTTTCGTAATGCAAAGATACATTTTCATTTTCAAATAAATTATCAGATCCATTCGTAAACGTATTTTCTTTTTGTATGAACGTATTGGTCATTTGAGAATTTATCTGAGGCAGTTTATTGAATCGATTGCTCATTTGTTCCATAAGAGTAGATACAGGTCTTATACCTCTGCTAACTTTACGAATGAGAAGGGGAGTAATTCCATTTACTGAGGGTTGCCTTGTTTTCATTATACTTAATACCTTTTGAATTAAAAAAAAAAAACTATAATAGAGCACTTGTTATAATTTTACATTAAGCAACGTACTTGCTGGATATTTAAACCTAAATTGTGACTCGGGGATACAGAAGTACCCACTACGAAGGGTATGTTCCGAAAATTGAATCTACCGAAATACGAACGATTTACTCTTTTCAACTTCGAAGCCAATGTTGGCATTTCGTAACTATGAGTAATCATTGGGTCGCAACACGATGCTTGCATAATTGAATTTTGACACTGATTCAAACTGCATTTCTCCGTTGCATGCACAGGAGCAGATGCAATCTCCGAATTGCAATTTTGAATATAAGTATTTGTACTTTTTACTCTGGGAACAGATATACAAATGTACATTTCATGTTTAGAAGTTGCATCCTTGTAGTCATTACTGTTATCACTTACTCTGCTTTATATCTAGACTGACACTGTTTCCTAGGACTATCTTGTCCATTGTTTTCTCCTGTGTTACAATTCTGTTGATTACTACCATTATTTTCACATGTTGGTTTTACATGTACAGTCTGCTGTTTAATTGTAGCTAATCCACTATTACAGTTCATATGTGAATCTAATTTGGAATGTTTACTGAGGACAACAGAAGCACTACCACTTTTTGCTGCTGTATTGTGATAAATTTCAACCACTTCATTAGAAATCCGATGAGATTTTGGTACATGACGATTACTTGTTCCATCTAAAAGATAAATAAAAATTGACATACAGCTTCTAAACAAATAATTTCATTTCATACTTTTTTGTTTTCGCTTTTTTGTGTCTTTTCTTCCTATGAAATTTGTGTCTTTTGTTGTTACAGTACTTTTTGAATTGGAACCATGTAATTTTCTTCTTCGTTTTTTAAACTTCAATGCAGTAATATCATCTAACTTAGATAAGGAACCTCTCCTGCTTAACTTCTCATTTTTTACTTTTTTACTTTTACCTACAGTTGCAGTTTTTATGCTACCAGTGGTATGCAGTTTAATACTGCCTCTTGCAGAAGTCAGATCTTGAAGCAAGCATTTATTTTGATTGTCCAAAATTAATTGTTCAAAAGCTTTCTTTGAATCTTCCACATCTTGTGCTAGTTTTTCAGAATATTTTGCTAGATGATCTTGATATGGATATTGCCAGTTGCCATTATGTTCTTTATACTGTTAAGAAAATTTTACATATACAATTGTAGAGAATGTTTTCTTTTGAATTAAGGTATTATAAAATATGTGAATGCATATAATTACATACTTCCATGTTTTCTTTAGAAATTGGTGATACCAATTTCGATTGGATATGCAGATTTTGCGATAGTTTATAAGTTCTGGGTGTGACACCAGATAATTCAATTTCTGATTTGTTTTTTATAGGAAGTTCAATTTTGTCATCATCTTTGCGTTGCATACTAATTTTTGGTAAAATATTCTCTAATTTTTGACTATGGCATGAAACACATTGTTCAGTACCATCTGTAGCAAAAAATTATTAAGTATTTTAATTCCATTTAGAAATAACAAGATAATACTTAACATTTTTTCATACCATCATCATTTGGCAGATATTTGGTATCGCATAATTCTTCTAAAGAATTATCATAATTTATCTGTTGAGAAACTGTAATTTCAGCATGATCAGAAGGTTCATTTTTAGAAGTATGATGGTTCAAGCTATCCAGAGTACTTTTAGATTGTAAGATATGTGGTTGAATATCATGACATAACATCTTCATATAATTCATATGTGACTGTAAGGAATTCTGTCTTGTGTTCGTATAATTTAGCCATTGTTCCATTCGTTTTGGATCTCAAGAAATGAAAATATGTTTGGTCAATATTTTTACGGTACAAAATGTAGTAAAAAATATTAGTAAATAGGAAAGGAGTATACCAGGCAAATATTTTTTCGTCTTAATGACATCCATATTTTTTCCTTTATTGAGGAGATTTCATTGTTTCATTATCCAATAAACAGTCATAAGCAAGAATAAAAGAACAAACGGACAATATTTCAACGAGTAAAAGAAATTTGTAACAATACAAAAATAAAAGGAGTCTACAAAAGTTCGCGAAACCAGAATTCATAGGTTACACTTTAATTACTGATCGATTACATTTTTGGACGTAAATCTTTTGTTTTACATACGTTCTTCTTTCGTTAAAAGAAAATCGTTTGAATAGAATTCTGGCTTTTGCATTAAAATCTATATTTCTATAAATCATCATTTAGTATCAATGTTTATACGGATAAAAATTGTAGATTCATTCGTAAGTCAATCTTTTCCCGCGCATTCGTTTCCTGGATCGACATCCATGTTTCCCATCCAAAATTTAAAAAGATCGTTAGCAAATTTTAATTTACAAATGAGTCTGCAATTTAAACGTAATCTGCAGCTAACTTATAAATGAATCTACAATTTTTATTCGTTATTCGTATCTGGCTTGTCTTCAAATTTTTATTCATTCTCTCAAATATATTCGCACGAGTTGTGCAGTGAATAAATATCTGTGAGTTGGTAACGAATTTAAAACAAGCATCCAGATAATTAACGAGTGAAAAGTTTTAGAAAAAGAAAAATGTTGAATGCAAGCGGTAGATTTTCAAATCAGATTATTGTAAGACCAGGTCCGCGATATTTGGTCGTTAGGTGCGCTGGGGTCTGTTTCTCGAATATATTTTAGGAAGACACAGTTCGGTCTCTTGTGAGTTGCAAATGGTGGACGGCCTGTCATCGTTGGTTGCGTTAACATCAGGTACGTGAATTTTTGCATCTCTCGCCTTTGATTTTTAACGTATTATGTTAATGAGACAATTATGATTAACATCGACCACTGTCGGCTATTATGGAAAGTAAAAGTAGCTCCAGGGACGCATATTATTCGCCAAAATCGAATTTTCTTTCGATTACGTAAAATTATTGCACAGACGGAAATAGTCACCTGACTTGCAACAAACGCGGTTACCTTTCCAGTATATTTAAAACCATAAATGATGATCAAGAAATTCACAAGATTTCCCTGTCGTATAATAATTTCATTAGATTTCGATAGCAATCCGAGCAAAGTTAATTGAACTATCTGGACATGCTGAAAAAAAAAACTGAAATTATTGTGTATATGTATAAATGCAGTTGTGTAATCGCTATAGATATTTTAGCTACATAACTAATCCCGCATATTCTTTCGTGGCTTTCGTTTTAGCTGATCTTTTTTTAGTCTCTGTCCGTACCATTCGTTTCAAATTTTTGCGAAAGCTGTCCACGTTTTTCAGAGACAAATGTCACATGGGCACTGGTAATGTCTTTGTTGACAGCTTCTCTTACCGCCAGTACTTGATTATTCTCGAAACTTGGAGTACGTCTTAATCGGCATCCGTTCCCGATAACGTCGATCCAAAGTCTGTTTTTTAATTTGTACGAATTTCAGTAGTGAACTTAGAATTAATTGTGATTTCATCGAAAATTCTGACACTGAGAAGGTTAGCGATAACTAGGTCAGTGTCTCGTCACGCCTATCTGTTGTTGACTCTCGATATTTTACTTCGTATACTATGACATCTCTTTTACTAGTTCTATACAACTATTATTAGTGTTACATTGACTGACATATATAACATAATTTTTGTTAATTACTTGTCACATATATCATAATTAATATAAAGTTCGTATTGTCACGTAACACGTGTTGTGTTGCATATAAAATTAGTATATACTACAAC